AATCGTTTGATATCAGGACGTTAAGGAAACAACAATTAATCAATCAAAACAGTTGAAAAAGATTTGTCAAGTTAAAGTTTATATTCAACTGGTAATGTCTTAAAGGTCTTGCATATCCTCATCCTTGATTATGTTCTCCTCTCTCCGTATTATTCCATATTTCATTCAAATATATTTTTTTTATTATTTTTACAATTTTATTTATACTTGATTCAATGTAAGGAATATTAGTTAATCCTTTGCCATTTATTCGTGTTTATAAAAAAAAATGACCTGAATATTAAAAAATGAAAAAACTGTGAAAACGTGAAATGAAAACACCATGCCTAAAAAATAACACATTGAAAACTAATGTGTGGGTGTTCTCTGCTTTGGTCCTCATTCTTTAAAAAAAGAAATACACTTTTTGTGGAGCTTTTCTTACAATTAAAATCTGTTATTGTGTTTGTACTTTTTCATAAACTGTGATAATATTTTTTTGTAATTCTGTTAAATTAATATATATTTTAGCTTTTGATTATATTAAGATAGTTAGTATTTAAAAAAAATTTAAACTAATTATACTACCAAAGAAATTTTTTGGTTCTCGTTTCACAAAAGAGGGACGAAAGATACCAGAGGGACAGTCAAACTCATAGATCGAAAACAAACTGACAACGCCATGGCCAAAAATGAAAAGACAAACAGACAAATAATAGTACAGATGACATAACATAGAAAACTAATGACTAAGCAACACAAACCCCACCAAAAACTTGGGGTGATCTCAGGTGCTCCGGAAGGGTAAGCAGATTCTGCTCCACATGTGGCACCCGTCGTGTTGCTTATGTTATTACAAATCCGGTAAATTGTCTTATTCGGTAGGTCACATTGGTGAAAAGGGAAGAGTATTGTAGTTACGACATATGGAACATATCCGATATCATCTGTGAAACGGTTATTCCATAACGGTCAACCAACTCGTGATGGCGTCCGTAAAATTTACGAAGGGATGATTTCAACTTCGCCATTTGGAACTCTTGGTTTAACAGCTTCCTTGTGAGCAGCAATCCTCTATCAAGAAAATCATGATAGGAAATACAAGACCGGGAATATCGTATCAATTGGGAGATATATACTCCGTATGCAGGCGCTGCTGGAATGTTGCTACATAGAAATGGAAAGTTTACAATTGGGAAGCTGAAATCATCTCTTTTGTCGTAAATTTTTGTTTTCAATCGACCCTCATTGTCAATTTCTAGATGTAAGTCAAGATATAAGCCAGACTTAACTGTATCTGTAGTATCCTTTATCTCTAGTTCGATGGGATAGATTCGTCAACATAGTCACCAAATTTTGTATTATTTAGTGAGAGAACATCATCTATATAGCGGAACGTAAGGTTAAATGATATTGCTAACTTCTTATCTTTCTTCCTAAGAAGTTCCTGTATGAAGTCAGCCTCATCAATAATAAAGAAACAAGTCGGCAAAAAGAGGGGCACAATTGGTTCCCATTGGAATTCCGACAGTCTGTTGAAAAACACGTCCTCCAAACGTAACAAATATGTTGTCAATCAAGAAATCAAGCATCTTGATAATGTCAGTTTCAGAGAATTTTTTTGTTTGAATCAGAGTGATTCTTTACAAAGTACTTGTATCTACGTTCGCCATTCTTTTTAATGAAACAAAGTAATACCAACTCTTTCAATTTGTCTTTTAGTTTTGAATGGGGAATACTTGTGTAAAGTGTAGAAAAGTCATATGTTTTAATACTATTGCAAGATGAGAGAGTCTTAGAGAGTGTGTATGATTTATCTACTTGTTGCCTCACTTCAACGAATCTTGAGTATTGCACTCAGTGAATCAATTCATTTTCAATCAGCTTTGTGAATAATGAGTTAAAATGATGTGTTTGGTCTGAAGTTTGCCTTCCATTCTTATTCATAAAGCAATTTTCTCCTTATAAAAGATAATAAAATAACAATTTACAAGCTTTAATGCACATTAAAAGAAATCTTTGTTCAAAAATATAAAGTCAAATGCCGGAGGAAAATCTCAAACAATTATCATATGAAAACATGGTGATTTGGTTTTAAATTCTTGTCTATCACAAAACATTCTTCTTATATGAATGCTCAGAAGGAACAGAGTTGAGTATTTCAAATAGAAGTTTAACTCCGTCAAATGTTTTCATCCGGTCCCACGGAAAGAATAAGTATAGTTTGCATTGTGTATAACTCATATTTCTGCAGCGTTAAATTGGATTAACAAGTTTCCTGTACTTGGGGAGAAATAGAAGTTGGTATATGGTATTGGCGTAAAAACAACATTTTTTTTTCAGAAATCATTAAATCTTTTCTCTCAGTTTCACAGGAACAATTAACAATACAAAGTTGCTGTTTTCTATAGACTACAAAAGAAATAAAAACCTCATACATGAGAATAAATCTATGAAGATCCAATGTCATCATAAACAAAGCGCCACTGTCTTGACGCTATGACTTGGTAAACTATATACAGTATCACATACAAAACTTCGCTATGAAAGTCAGAATGTATCAAATAACATTGCTTCCTTTAGATAGTTTCCTATGAATATTTAAGTGTGTTTTAACCTTGAAAACTTAAAATGATAAAAAGGTTGAAAGCAGTTAAAATCATAAGAAAGATTAGATTTTGGTCCACGCATGCAGTTTCCTTTAAAAATAACACATTGGTTGCATTATTTCATGCATTAATTGTAAACAAAAATATCAGGTGAGCGACACAGGCTCCTTGGAGCCTCTAGTTTCTCAACGCTACGTAGTGGTACTATGAAGTTAAATGTTAAGGTTGGGCGGTATACATATATACCAAGAGAAAACGAATTATGTACTTGTTGTAATATGAAAAGTGTTGGGTACCATTTGACTTTAGGGTGTCCTGTGAATAGATAAGTAAGGCTGCAATTTTTACCAAAGTACTATTGTTTTTGGCCCAATATGACAAAACTAAGGTATTTGTATCAAATAAAATCTAGATTATTAGTTGCAAAATTTTGTAACTATTTGAAATCTGCTTAGCAGATTAGATCACATTTGATTCCTAGATTGAATGTCTATTGTTCTCTGCTGTTTGTTGTGTCACATTGTAAATGTGTTTGTGTTGATATAGCATGTAACTACTGCTTTGCAAATTCAAAAGTCATTTATTTATTCCCTATGATTAATTTTTTTTTAAATATTTTATTTGGCAGATGACCGTTGTTCAATAAATGCAACAGTAGTTTACCGCTGTTCGAAATTCAGAAATCGATTGAGAACAAACAAATTCGGGTTACAAACTAAAACTGAGGGAAACACATTACATGTAAGAGGAGAACTACGACACAACAGAAACACAAAATTAAAATGTAACACACACAGAAACGAACTATAATATAACAATGGCCATTGTTATATTATATATATCAAAACAGAGATTAAATCGAAAGAATTTGTTCATGTGGCATTCTTCCTCGTCTTTATTTTTTCAGTGAGAAGCACTTTTTGTGAACTTATTACTTCCCGTACTGTAACTTCCAAAACATGGCAGTTATTGTACGGCCGGTTTGACGATTTGTAGAACAGATATTTTCTTAGGCAAACACATGAAACCATGACACAATTTCAAGTTAAGAAAGGTATCTCCCTTATGCATAGCTTTGATATCTGAAGTGTGTCTGGTGTTGTTCATAACTGTAGAACAAGTATAGATTTGGGTCTATTGCTATTTGATTGTTATTGATTTAGTACGTCATTGTTACTCTGTTGATGTTTCTTCGAGTTTCTAGTTTTTTTCCAATTTCAATGTATTTACTACATTTGTATATTCTTGTCTTACCGCCCTGTTGTCGCCACCAGACCACCGTTGATTCACTTTCACCGCTCTTTTGTAATGTGATAGCTATGACTAATTCGGTTCATAAACACAAACTCCAACAGATAACATGTTTACATTTTATATATATATATAGATAAGACGGGCGCAGGGCATTTTGGAAAAATATTTTGAACTACTAGGAAACATTTTAGATTAAGATATTAAAACCGATTTCAGAGGGAGCAGGATTAATCCGTTCACTTGTATTTTCAATAGCCCATTTTAGTGAAAACCTACTTTGTTAAATCCTACTTACCACACTAGAACAATGAACAGTAATTTATGCTGGCTCAATGTTTAAGTTGTTAGCATTTACGTTTTGGTTAATCATGGAAATAAATGCTGTTAAAATAAACAGACGAAAGAAAAGTGTAATATGTGATCACTACCGTTATATGATAGATAGAATATTGAAAGATCAGGAATAGCATTGGTATTATAATAAAATGGCAAACATCAACATATATCAAAATAAGAAGTATAGGTGAATGTGCACCTCTATTTAGGCAAGAAGGAACAGTTCCTATTTTATGAACAGTATTGTACATGGGGTTAACATGGGTCCATTAAGTTTGTTCTCTACGAAATAAATTCCAGACTAGAACAGACATGTAACATTACACCTACCACTCACGACGTGGCTGGGTACTTATACACCCCGTAATTGTGTTATTGTTCTACGGTTAATTTTTAGTTCTTGTTTTTAATCTGTTTAAGTTACATAAAACGGTAAACAATTTACGAAACCGAGGCTGTACGTCCATAAACATCGTTGAAAAATAAGATCAATATATAAAAAAGTACGAATTACTTTTTATTCGAATAAGACTGAAGGAGAGACAAGGGTACCATTGTTTGACATTACCACTTAGTGGCAGGAGTATAAGGAGACAATAAAGGCATACTCTTCATCGAATATTAACGAATAAACAGAACAAAAACTGGAAATAATGATTGTGTGAATATTTACCTTTGAGACATCAACCCCGATTACACAAACGAAATTTGAAGGTTCAAGAAAAAAAAAAAGGTTCTTAAAATGCAAAAACAATGAAAATAATTGCGGAAATAAGAATTGTCAACCGTTTGCTTTTTAAATTTAGACGTTGTCCATGGACGAATGCGCATGAAAATCCATTGCAGCAACACGGAAGTTAATTTCCATAAAATTTTCATTACGGCAACTTAAATTCAGCATTTTATTCAACATTCATTGACAATTATAAATATGGGTAACAAAATTTCAGCTGCAGGTCAAAACGAAACCGCAGGTTGTCTGGCATCGCCACAGTCGATTATTACTCCTTCTGATTCATCTTCTTCATCCACAGAACCACCAAAACCAATTGAACAAATAGCATCTGGTCATAACCCAGGAACATTTGAAGAACTCCACAGAAAATGCGAAGGTTTGGAACTTTCCCATGACATCGTGGAAATATCTTTCGTTTTGTATATGTTCTTGGTCACAATTTCGTCATTTACGTGGATCTTGGTTTCTGTTGCATTACGTAACCAGTCTGAGCACAGCAAACAAAAGGGAAGTATTTCCTGAGATGAAAAATTTGTAGCATAGGTGTAAACCATGAAGACATTTCAAGACGTTTTCATTTTGCTGTCATAGTATTTTATATTTTGTAGTTATACTATTTATGGGTGAAATGATTAAACTCGAATGAAACTCATTCTTAAATGAATAAGTTTAAACAACATTCGAAATTTTTCAAAATTTATGAAATTCAATTATTGATTTGCATTTAAATGTGTTCTATATACATTTGATAAACAAACAATGTTTGAATGTGACAGTACATGAACCTTGCTATTTGTTTTGACACAAACAACAACTATTAATTAATAATGGTGAAAAACAGAGAAATAGGGCGACTGTTTTTTTCAAGTGAAGAGCTTGACATCACTGTCAGGATTCTGACATACCGAGGGATATTTTCAAATGAGAAAAGAAATTTGGGATGCTCCCACCGGTAGCATGAGTGTTGACAGCTACGAAATATATCCACTGAAAGTGGTACATATAAATATAGTTTATAAATTCGGTCTGCAGCCATTAAAAATCAAGGACTGGTAAATATCGTGTGAAAAAATCCAAAACAAGCCTATGTCTTTAGACCAATTCACACATATTACCATTCCAACAATGCTCCCAACATTCGCATTTACATGTATCAATTATAACAGCTACAACAATAGCAAATGTTGACCCTCGCTAAAAAATATTTTTTACAAAAAGAGTTCATTTATTAAAAGTGATGTGTTAGATTTGACAAATTTGTCGGTTAGAGGTTTTTATCGATTACTTAGATTTTGATTTGTCATTGCTTGGCATCGTGTTATTTCATTTCTATTTCCAAAACTAAAAACTAAAATACCCGGAAAGTCATGATAATAGGTTTCCAATTAATTATGCTGTTTAAATTTATTGGACCAATAAGATCAATGATGAAACTTAATGTGATTTCCTCTAACGAACCGAAACGAATAAAAACAATAAATGATTTCAAACTAGAAATAAGGATTATTTCTTAAGAATGTCAAAAGATCCGTAATGAATAAATATCATTGGCGTTAAACATTTAAAATGAACTATGACAATATCAATGAAACAAGACTTTCATCGATGTTCTTTAAGTAGGCTGTAAAAATATCAGACTTGACAGCAACCTCAGGATGATCCCTAGCTCTGACATACGCAGTAGGCCTTGTTATTGATTTGAAGGAACACTGTGAAAGTAATAAATACATTTCATTCTATATAATTTCATTTCCTGAAAAAAGAACATTATATTTTTATAGACATCATATATCTATAATATTTTCTTTATGAACACTTGTTGTTTTAGAAGATTGTCTGATCAGAGAAGACAACAGCACGATATCTTGTTAATCATGCTAAATATAATTAGAATTCGAACATTACTGAATTTCAACAAATACTGTATATAACTTTAATAAAAGGAGATGTAGAGTGTACACATCAGTGAAACAGGGACCCAACAACGCAATAAAACAAAATACATCCAATATACCGTCGACGACAATATACAAGTGTTTATACTATATGTCAAGATCTGATTAACCCAAGGTATAGAAAAATTATGAATAAATGTACTTAAAATGCACAATAACGAGCTTTTATTATTAGCCAATGAAGCTAATATATTCAAATGCACCATACCTGTCAGATTGAAAGAGCATGTGTGACTTTATTCTTTTTAATAGAATTTATTTTGGCCGATCCCTACTTGATTTTATGATTGATTGTTCCTTGCTTAACATCTAGTACTTTCATATTATGTGTATTGGAGGTTCATAATTTTTATTTCCACATTATTGTCTCGAACTATGTTACAAAAATGCCTGTTCATGAAGACCAACATGATTTTTTTTTTCATATAAAAAATGGCAATATAAATATGATATATATAATGGTATGGTACATTTCGTTAAAAAATGTGAATGTTGACTGAACATATATTATGTACATATGAATCTTGTTTTTCAGACATATTTCCACAATGCTTCCAGGGAGGAAAGATTATAGTTTCAAAAGAATTAAGCAGTCATTTTCAAGTCAGTCATACCATCAATTTCAGTACAGTAGAGCGTGCCAGTTCTGGATACAAATTCGGTGCTACATATGTTGGCACAAGAAAATTAGATTCACAAGAGGTTCGAATTTTCAATCTATCCACGGGAAGATTTTATTACAGAATTTTTTGTTGACAAACTCTTAAGCATAATTCGTCTTGAAAAGTGAATTGTATCATAGTAGGAACGATTTTTGGTATGGTTGCTGCAATAGCAGTAGAATATGTATTTGACTAATAACAACCTTTTTTACGTTTCAACGTTATCAAATATTTTTTTCAGTCTAAAATTAAATGGTTGAGTGATATTCATATCTAGATTTATTATGTAAATGACTTTAGTGGTGAATTAATCAATGACTAACAGTTATCCGAGGGAAACACTTAAACAAAATATTCTCCAAATATTCGTCTTTGATAGTATGCAACAGCCAAGCTTGTTTGTTTTTGGTCTTTAACTGCGAATTACATTTGGGCTATTGTATTGTTGTTTTTTTCCCCAATTACATTCTATAGAAGTGTTCAGTGGATTTAGTTGTTATTGAATGAAGTAGTTCTCTTATTGTCAATATTCATTAATGCAAGAAATCAGGTTATTCATTGAAAATCGATATTCATATTTATAAACGAAGAAAATACAGAAAAAAAACATAATTTAAGTTGAATTCGTAGTGCAATTTCTTTGTTTTATGTTTTAGTAAGTATGGTTAGGGGTCATGTGCTATGAATTAATACTCCATAACTATTTTTTCCATTTTAATGTAATCAGTTTATTTACGCCAAAATCAAATTATTTTAATTATATCACCACCTACAATATTATTACGAAATCACATAAATAGAAAAATTTTCTTACATTTACTCTATTCTGTGAAAGTCTGAAACACTTTTGTTTACTAAACCATTAACTGCACCTTTTGCTTTTTAACTGTATTGTTTTTTTTTTTTTCTTCAAATTTTTATTTAATAGGTGCTAAACGTGGTTTTAGGTGATATTGATCCTACTGGTAATCTTAATTTCAACATAATTCGGCCATTTACACAGAATATTTGGTCTAGCGTTGTAACACAGGTATGTTTAATTTATTCGTTGGTGAATGACAGTTCCTTAACTTATGTTAGAAAATTCATAATTGAAAATATATTAGTGTTCTAAAATATCAAAATCTTTAAGTAGATTATCTTCTATGTTAACGAATTCAATAGATAGAAGACTTAAAGTCAAAGAAATATAAACAAATTAAAAAATTAAAAAAAACATTTGCTTTTTAAAATTGAAATCACATTTGACACTAAAAATACTAACCCCTACATATGAAACATTAAAATTTATCTCTACATTTCTAGATGATAATAGATATGAAATATTTAGACGGAAACTGCTACACTATATACTTCCCGGTAATAAACTATCAAAACAATGGCATATACTAGAAACAGATACATGTTCACACTGCAAAGAATAAGAGGATTATGATTCTCGAGAAATTAAACATTGGAAGACATGCTATTTATCTGAAAAGTATAGTTTTTCAATATAAAGCATAGGATATAGAGTATTATGAAATTAATTTACTTCTAACCATAATTAGTTACACTAAATATAAAGTATACTATATGTCAGACAAAGAAATAAAAAATATTTAATTACTCAAAATATTTCGACACGAAGTCGGAAATTATATTGAAACAAGAAACTTTTTAGGATACACGATTGGTAAATTATTCAAGAATGCAAGCTATTTGATGAACTAATTTAAAATAAATTTGAAGAGAGCGGAGTGAACTTGATTTACATAATGAGATAAACTTTGTTAGTCTTGTATCATTTTTAATTTTAGTTTCTTGTGTATAATTTGGAGTTTAGTATGACGTCCATTATCACTGAATTAGTATACATATTTGTTTAGGGGCCAGCTGAAGGACGCCTCCGGGTGCGGGAGTTTCTCGCTGCATTGAAGACCCATTGGTGGCCTTCGGCGGTTGTCTGCTCTATGGTCGGGTTGTTGTCTCTTTGACACATTACCCATTTCCATTCTCAATTTTATTGCTATTCTGGTAAAAATAATACTTCTTTCAAATATAGATAGTATTACTGTAATTTCTACATACATGTGTGTTCACCTATTTTTTATTGTTTGTATAGAGCTTTGACTGTACATTGAGTTTTATTCTTATTGTGCTATATTACTAGTCTCTTTATGTTGTTGGCAACTAACCATTTACTGGTACAATGATATTCAAGATATAAGGAATCTGACATGACAAGAACACTTAGTACATGAATATTACTTTCAACTGAATGACTCGATAAGATAGCATCCGATTTTACTATAGATATAAATTTTGTAAAACACATATGAATTTCGATCAAACAACTACCACAGAATAAAATAAGAACATATCATAATTCCTGCAAAACAAATGTTTTGAAACATTCCATGGCTAATCCATTTGATTAGATGTATTCCGTAGTAGAAAATTGATAAGAAGTAGTGGATTCATAAAGGATAATCAACGAGAGACTTTAGTCGCAAGTTGATTATCGTTTCCGAATCCACTACTTCTTATCAATTCTCTAGCTTAACCCATTTCTAGTAAAACGACTGTCTGTTCTACGTTTTGACAATGAATCAACGATATTTCATAAAAATAGATTCGTATTTTTTCTTTTTTATTCTATAATAGCTGGAAATGATTATATCCACACGGTTCGCATCTATATTTAGACATTTGACAAGTTAACATAAGTTTAAGATAACTTAAATGGGGTGTTAGCTCCCCCTTTTAACACCAGATTTTATTTTTGTAAATACATATTTCATTTAATGTTTAATCATTACAAATTATTGAAATTGAATAGATTTTGGTATATTTAAATTATTCAAAAAGGCATATATTAATATACTGAATTTATTTATCTTGTTTTGAAAAGTTTTTAATTACCAAAATTTAGAACCTTCAAAATTTATATATATAATATTTAGCAACATGGTTTGGTATATTGAAGACTAAATACAGTTAAGCCGTTCTTAATCAAATAAATATTAATAGCGTAGATGCCGTAAATCTGCCATTTCAAAATGCTCAAATTTATGTTGCTTTCCTAAAGTATTAAAATTATGTGCTTACGATTTAAATTGAACAATAATATTCAAATTTTGTTCAAACTGTTTCCGTTTCTTTAAGTTAAGATTATTTTAACGTTATTACATTTGGCATATATCAATAAACTAGTTTTATCTGTGGTACGCATTCTGAATCCCCATTATAATTGCTCTTGCAACGGATGTACAATGAATGATCATGTTGATTTCACAAACTTAACATCAAGCTGTTCATAGTCGTGATCGTCTAGTCGTTGGTAACGAATGTCATAACGGTGATATTAACAGTGCAAAGTTCGAACCTTGTACCCGGAATGAAATTTTTTCATTTGTAATTTTTGTCTGGACCAAAATATTTTTGTTTCTGTTTTTACTGTCCAAGAAGTAGTTTTAACCCATTTCTTAAAAAAATAATAACACCCAAAATAGAACAAATTCAATAAACATGAACAAACAAAGATATATATATTTCATGTAAATTACAAAGGCGAATTATCAATGAGACAGAAATACAATTAAATGACATGTCTTTCACAATTAAGCGCTTTAAGAGTACTATTCATATATTAATTGGTCTAGTGGTATCATGCATAGACTGAAGACTCTATTGATTATGACGAAAATACGCGCGAGTTCGAATCCTACATATGCCACTCTTTTTTGAGAGGATAAAAGATCGTAAGTTAAATCTTTAAAGTTATAATATAAGTTCTCTTAAGTTAATACTATGGTCAGTGGATTCTTGAAAAATAATCTACAGTAAGAACAATAGACTGACGTCAGAGAAATGGGTTAAATAGCACTGCACGTCTTAAACAAAACAATTAATCAAAACAATCATTCAGGTGAAGACATATATTATATCCGGATAAATGAAAATTTGTGTACTAACGCAAATAATTATAGTACATGCTCTATACTAATGTTAACGAGGCCGGGGTATGGTACCTATATTTGATGTACATATTAACAAATGTAAATACAATATATGTTAATAAAATTTTGTTTTAGGAAAATTAAAATAAAACAAAAATAAATAAATGAATCATTGTACATTTTAACTGATCAAGGAAAAGCATTTTTCTTTTGTTGTACAATGTAGTGAGACGATTGAACTGCCTGAAATTACTTAATTTACAAAATTCCCAGATCAACCAACTATTGATCCGTGATGTAATACCTTATTTTTTAAAGGATTAAACACGTACAATTTTGTTTGGTTTTGAACATTTCATTATGTTGGTACTTGTACATTACTTTTCATTTTTATTTCATAGATGTGTCCACCAGGTTTAGTTGATACTGTTGATAGTGAAACAAAGGATCCAACAGAAAAACTTGTTACACGTGTACGTTCAATTTACTTATAGATATATAATAGAATTTTAACCAAGGTAAGAGAGGTTATGTATGTATATTATCAAGGAGGAAAACACAAAGGTGTTCTAAATTAAGAGATATTTCGTTTTATTTAATAATTTTGTGTGCATTTAGAACTTATGTAATTCATCTGAGTATCGAACAAAAGACGTCATATTTGATGAGCAGCTTAACAATGATAAGTTGGACAGTGTGACCTCTTACTAAATCTGTTTGACACCTACTTCATATTATACCGATACTTTGAAAAACGTAAAATTACAAAAAATACCGAACTCCAAGGAAAATTGAAAACGGAAAGTCCTTAATCACATGGCAAAAGCTCAAACATATTAAACGAATGGTTAACAACTGTCATTTTCCTTATGTAGAAATTGGTTGAATTTATTAATATAATGAATTTAGCTAAACATTTTTGTCACAAAGAGGAAGAGCAAATTTAAACTTTTTGTTTTCATATGGTCAAAATCTGACAGTTGTTAAAACCTACTAGAATTCCAATATTGAAGATTCTTTCTTATATACTCACACATTTTATTAACAATTTTACAAATTTCAATCTAATAAAATTGGGGTATTTTTTCGGGACTGTAATTACTGTTAAAGACAATATTTTGCATATTTTTAAAGAAATTTGCATCGAAGGACATCTCTAACCAAAATGAGTCACTTGCATTCGAAAAAAAAATCTGGTTCCCACAGAATAGTGTCTTGCGTTAAAGATGTTTTTTTTATAAATGTTTTTTTATGAGTACTAAAAATTTGCCAAATTTTGTGAAACTTGAAATTTTGAGCCAACCTTAAGCATCAATATGATGGTTAAGATATACCAAAATGTTTATAAAACATTTCAATCTGTGGCACTGTGAAGAGTTGTTAAGTGTGATCTCTTTTCAAATCTGTTGACAGCATTTTCTTATTAGCCGATACCTCGATCTTTTTTTTCCAAATGTTGAATGTGCTATGAAATGAAAATAGTACTTTATGAAATGTTCATAAAAAATAGCTCGAAGCCACACTTTTTAAAGCCAATGGTGTCTTAGATAAGAATCACTTGAAGAGCTACATGTATATTTATAACCAAAAGGGGCTAAAAGTTATATATAAATCAATCTATGTCAACTTTGTCGTACGGATTTGTGACCTTAGTTTTATAAAAATGCCTAGTTTTATCAACTATGCATTTAGGAAAACTATGTTACAAATCATGTCGGTACCGAAGCTCGGACTACTGAGCTGATGATACCTTGATAGTCAACCTGTGTGCGTTCTTGTTATTTTTGTCATGGCACAACAGAAATAAAGTGTAATCTTTTATAGAAGAAAAAAGATAAGAGTAGGAGTGATTCATGAAAACAAAGCACACAAGGAAGAATTATTATTTTAAACGTAAAAACAGACAATGGCATTTTCTTAGCTAATTAACATATTACACCAAAAACAGAAACGACAAAAACATTTATTATTTAAGTAAAGGATTTGACAATGAATTGGTACTCTAAAATAGTAGTTGATATGTCAAACTCGGATAGAAAACTGCTACTTCCAAACAAAAACCGATAAACCAGTAAATTGTCTTGATTGTTAATCAATAGTCAAAATGAAATCGATAGTTAGCAATACTTCAAGCTAAATCAAATAGCTAAATAGAATTTATACTTAATACAGTTTTTCCACAATGTAGTAAAAAAGTTAAACTTTTTCAGATCAACTATCGACTCATTAAGTCATGCCTTATTCTTTGAAAGGCTTAAACTAACAAAAATACAAAATATTATTTTATGTATTGCTTTTTATGTTTATTTTGCAGATAACTCCAGCGGGTTTAGTTGATATTGATATTAACCCTGCCAGTATAGCTAATAGTACAGCTACTTATGAAGCTAATCGTAAAGCTAATAATGAAGCTAATCGTGAAGCTAATAATGAAGCTAATCGTGAAACTAAACGACGTAAAGCGAATCGTAAAGAAGTCTATGTTCTTAAAGCCACAAAAAGATATGCATCTGCAGATATTAGGCCAAAACTGGTAACACAGGTATGTTCAATTGAATCATAAATATATACAAATCTTTTAATAAAAGTTAAAAAGTTCATTTATCTTCAGTATATACCCACATTTTACAATAAAAATCCAAAATCCATCTGAAACTTAATTTATAGAACTACTGTCATATTGAAAACTTTACATAACTGTGCAAGTTTTTGGACGTATTGAAAAGCTATCTTTATAAGAATTCTTCTGTTAGTATATTTTCTCAAACATAAATATCAATTTATTTATATTGTTTTCCGATGAAATGATAAACCGCATGTAATTGTTGTAAAGTTTTAGATGTTTTTTATATTGCTCAATTATTTATAGTTTTAATTGCGTGCAAATGTTAATATATTTGTTTATGTATTATCGCTATCCCTCTGTAGCTCCTTACTTGCGCTCAAGATGTAAATAAATTGTCTTGGTTGTCTTTTCAACTAGTTGCATTATATGGAAAATAACAAAGTGTTCAAAATGTCGTAATATTTTTAAAGACAAATTCTAACATGACGTTCTTCAAACGCTTTGAGTACACACCCGTGGTAAAATATGAATATATCATTTGGGCTGTTCCGATCGTACTCCCGCGTCATATGCTTTTTTATAAATGAGATATCCGACGTCATAGAACGATGACGTAAGAATATAAGCATTTTACGGGAAAATACACGCTTGTGAAACCGAAAATCATCACAACAAGGAAATGTAAACAAAATATTCTAAAATGTGTTATATAAGCCATTTCTTGTATACATATCAGACATATAAGTACAATTATCATTTAGATTCATCCATTTTCAAGCGCTATTGCTCGTTATCCTGTGCACATAATTTAAAAAAAAATACTATATTTCTATGAAAACTTTTACTAAAATGATATAAAATTGAAATTAGGTCACATGATTTATTGTTCAGTAGATATCAATTAGTCTCGATTTGAGCTGTGAAAAAGGCGTCAAAATGACAAAATTAGTCTAACTTGGACGCAATGGTACGCTGCAAAATCGTTCTTTATTAAAAACAATATTTATTCATAGAATACACAATCTTAAATGATTTCGACAGCCAAAACAATGCATTGGCTCTATTGTGATGTACTCATTTTAATATATTGTATACATTGTACAAAACACAAAACTATAATAACAACAAAATGCAATATTCAAAGTAAACATAAGTGAACAATTCAAAAGCTATACTTTTAAACTATGGATCTTTAAATAAATTAAACAACCAAAACAAAGTAAACCATATACAACGGTATCGTTAAAAGGTCCAGGATCCGTGAATTCAAATTGTTTTCATAAAGAAAAGCGTATACTTTTTTTTAAAATGTTTGAAAATAAAAGTATGATAAAGAAAAAAGAATAATCAAATCATGAAACATTTAATATGACATTTTAAACAACATTGAATTTAAATAAATGGATTTTCAGGTAAGACGATATCTTACATATCAAACTGTAAGGTACCCCTTCTGCAGATATTTATAATAAAGAAACATCAAATGTTCTTTTAATCATGTAATAATTTAATCTATACCGGTAAAAACAATATGTAAGATTACGTTTAGTATAAAAAGAGTAAGAGATGATTTTGTTACCAGATGAAAAAACAATAAAACAAATTTTATTTCATTTATAGAAAGTCATTTTCATATCATCGAATACTAGGCTTTTTGATCAACAACATTTTATTGAGTTTAGTAGATATATATCTTAGCTGGCAGTCGATATTTCATAGGATTGAAATTGAGTAAACCTACTGATCGACTTATTTTTGTGCTCATTTGAAGCAGAATTCATACAGAATCCTCGCAAACGCAAAATGAAATTTTGCAAGGTTTTTGATGATGTGTTGTCACACAATCAATATACAACATTTCATGGAATTTTTGAATCTCATATACATTAACAAACTTGAAATTAAGGGTAGTACCCGAAACTAGAAACTGATATCTTGATATTTTCTTCGTTTTCTCGGTGTCACACAAAATAATAAAAATAATCTAGCAAATCAAACAGATTCTATCCAAGTAAACATTTTCAAAACAAATTATTACGGTATTTCTAATTTTCCCAAAGACAAATATTCCTTAAAAAAACCACGAATGGTCCACTTGATCTTTCAAACTGCCGACTAACTTCCTTTCCTTGTTAAATTCAGATGATGAAGTTTTAAAAAGAATATGAAATGTTCTTTATCTTATCATAAACCCAGACCGAATATAGTGTATCATATAGCGACATATTTGCATACATCTATGGCAAAAAAATTTACACCTTCGATTACGCGGGCAAATCAATGGTCGGAGGCATAACTTTCTCAATAGATTGTTCAAAGGCATTTAAGATATTGACATGAACTTAATTAACCAATCTGTCAAACACTTCAGATTCAAAACAGTATTTTAGATAGGACTTAAATGGTTTATACGGAAACAACTAGTTCTGTTTGTATTAGATACATCCTGAGGGCGTTTTGATCATATGTTATTGAAAAGCATGATAAATATCAAATAGTTCGTTTCTGTGTATGTTGGCATTTGTTTTTGTTGCACTTCAGTGTTTCTGTTGTTCCGTTGTTTTTCTCTTACAGTTGGTGTGTTTCCGTCGGTTTTAGTTTGAAAACGGGATTTGTTTTCTCTCAATCGATTTATGATTTTTGAACAGCGGTATACTACTGTTGCCTTTATTTGTAGAATTATAACGGGTTAAATACCAGGCTTAAAAATTAAGATATGACAAAAAACGTAAATGGATCGAAAAAAAAATCTTGACAAATAAAACCACAATTTAAAATAAATTAAACAGTGGACGACACATGTACAGTAATACTCAAATCAAAGAACGAAGGAAATTCTAAAAGCATTAAATGTAATCGACAATATAGGCTCACCTTTTAGTTTTAAACAATATAAGAACTTGGCAGAGGTCATATGGGTAGGAAGACTAAACAAATGTAAAGACTAAGTAGACAAGATTGCTACGCGGTACCAATATGAGAAACAGGAACATAGCTTTCATTACAAACTGTAGTTCGAGTTGTTGTGTGTGTTGCTGTTAGTCTTGTCATTACAAAGTAAATGTGGTGTATCTGCACATTCAGAAATCAACATTAAATCGGAATTCAAAAGGCTAACCATCTTGTTATTGTTGTATACATGGTTTTAGTCCCATTTCTTCCGTAAAAATGATCAAGTCAGAATGACTGTACATTCTGGTCAACTACACATGATGGCAGACAATCCTTACAAGAATGAGAGCTTTCCGTTTAACCTTCTAAGATGAATTGCGTTAACAAGGTGTCTGTATGGTAGGGTAGTTAATATGTCAAAGTTACATAGATATCAGACCTGAAATTGAACTGAATTAAAGCAGTATAACCTATACAAATGATTTAATTGAAAAAATCGGAAATATCACAATACTGCAACAATGCAAAGTAAACAAAAAACTACTATTTAGCCAAAGTATAATGCTCAAACAAGCAATACCCAATAACTTTCTTTAAACTTAGTTCAACATTGAGAAAAAAGTAAAATTAAACCAGTACTATCTTTTAAACAGATATTCGACTCTTTCAGATGGAAGCATATTTCAAAACTTAAATGTTTTATGTCTTTTTCATCATATTTAGTTCAAGATGTGACGTCTAAAGTCTGACAATTCTAAAAATTAAGCGCACATACTTGTCTCTCACGAATATACATATATGTAAAGTGTTTTCTCAGAGGTAATTGCCTGCTAAATTAAGCTAAAATAAAACATATACAATGTAACACATAACAATTTGAACTAGAAAAGGTTAAAGAACCGGGAAGAAATGTAAATCATAGATTTGACAATAAGAGACGAAAACACTTAGGCGTGTATAACGGACGGACTCCGAAGGAAGATGATCTATTGTCTTTTGACAGGTTATTAAACTTTTTACATGTATTTGGACGCTTTTATTTCAAGTGCTATTTATACCCATAGATATTCATCAACTTTTGACTGAACTTGCAAATTGTATTAATGTGGAAAATAAAATTTCCCTTTAGAAGTGTCAATGAAATATAGTTTTTTTAGCATTTGAGCTAATAAAGCTTCAGTTGTAGATATATTGAATCTGATTTGCTTGTAGAGACGGTATTATCAGTCATAAATTATTTAGAGTACGCTATCGCGATGTTAGTGAACTGAAAACATACAAGTTTGGAAATGATTTCGATTTGTGATTAAAGATTTGAGATTTCCGTCCGTAAATTAGTCTATTTATATATAAATTTGTATTTAGTATGTGCTTTTCGTTTTGATTTTTTGATTGAATGTTTACCGTCTTTAAAACCCTGCCAAGTATATAGCATGGAATGATACCTTCTAATTAGTTTTGTAATGAAATTTGAAATTGTTCATAAGTAATTTGTTCTGCTGTAGTAAAAATACTTTTATCGAGAATATATTAAATGTACCATTGTTAAACGATAGTTTTTATCTCAGATATTTATATCTAAAACTATCACCTATTGTTCGTCACAAAATATTAAACGAAGGTATGTTGGAATATCGACAATGGCATTTAGTCCAATCAGAGAACAAACTCGCACGGTTACCATCTTTCTGCATCATTAGGGTTAAAGGTTTCGAATTCGAAACTATATTGACTGCGTCGGGAAAAAACATATCAATTTACATACTGGACAATCAAAACATTTATAAATATTTTATAAAGAAAACAATCTACGACAATGGCAACTCACTACAAACTTTACAATTATTTACCATTCTTTGCAGTGAAAAATACACGAAACGTAAATTTATTATGCACAGATATGCACAGATAACTATCACAAGTGCAAGTTTGTTAAAGATTTCTAGAATAAATATCAAATTAAATGAAAATCGTTGATTTTAGAAAGATAATATCGCTGAAAGTCATAGTCTTTGGATACAAGATTGTAGACCGAGATTATAATGACGCAAATCTAATCATAACTTTGAAAGGTTTATCAATTT